AAATGAGACGTCTCACTTAAACGTACAAGTCCTCAATCAAGCTTAAAAAAAATTACACTCCATGAAGCAAAGCATGAGCTAACTCATCACGGAAGGCATTCATGTCGATATCTTCAACAAGAGGTTCGTCTTCTGGCCATGCGGATGCAGAAGAACTAGGCATTGGGTTATAGTTTTCATCCGCATCACACGCATCAAATTCCCTATCCGGAATTCTGCTCTCTCGAATGAAATTATGAAGAGCCATACAAGCAACAATAATTCTAGTTTGCTTGTCCTCTAGAAATTTTGGCATGTTCAATAAAATCCTAAATTTCATCTTCAACACTCCAAAGGACCGCTCAATGACATTCCTAACTTTGGCATGTGCATGGTTGAAGGTTTCTTTCATACCTTGTGGCGGCGGGGCGTTTTGCCATTGTTGCACATGGTACCTTGTACATCTGTATGGTGAAAGGTAGCCTGGACGGTTTGGGTACCCCGCATCAACCACATAATACTTCCCTGCAAATTGTGAAAGACACACAATGAGACTTGGATGAACAAGTGTAATTGGATAAAAAAAGTTGCAAGACATTTGAAGTAGCAAACCTGGTGGTGGATGTGGAAATTTTTGATGATGAGTAGTTCTGGCATCTTTCAAAACTCTCATGTCATGTGCTGAACCAGGCCATCCCGACATCACAAATGTAAATCTCATGTCGAAATCACAAACAGCAAGCACATTCTGACTGGTTTCATTGTGCCTGTTCAAGTATGGAATCCTCTTACTCTTATCCACCACAACATTCACATGTGTCCCATCTATAGCTCCTATGTAGTCATTGAAGTGTGGCCAGAATGCTGGATTTTCTAAGTTTGGGTGCACCTCTGAAAATGTTGGGTCCTTGGGTACAATTATGTCATGTGCTAACCTGAGGAGGCATGTCAAAACTCTGTTAAATGTCCTACTTACTGTCTCCATGGACCTCCTAAAACGGTTCTCAGCCTGTCTAACTGACTGTGGTGATCCAACAATCCATAAAAACATAGCTAGAGCCTCTACAAATGTCATTTTTGTAGTGGACTTCAAGCCATATGATTGCACCAAAGTATTATGTAGCCTGTTAAACAAAGGTCTCTCAACCCTAAACATGTTATAGCATTGGGTATCTCGGGCTAGTGTCTCCTGCACCCAATCCAAACCAGAGTATCCACTGACCCTCCTAGGTAGTTTCACAAAGTAGTTATCAGAGTACATACCCAAGACAGGAACCAACTTCAAGATTAAATTCTCGGACTGCACCAAATTGTTGCGGCACATAGATATGATCTCATCCTCACTTGTGCTACCTCCATCATATTCTTCTTCCTCAATCATGGGGACATGATCTTCTTCCTGTTTCAACACATGTATCAAATTGTCAACACATATCATAAAACTTGAAGGAATGTAAGCAAATGAAATTAATTCAGCCCGCAGATAAAACAAAATAGGTTCAACACAGATAATAGTTCAACACCTCACAAACACATGATAGGTTCAACATATACAACAATTTAAATAGATTCAACATCTTAACACACACACTTCAGAACTACTCCAAATTGTTGTCCCTGCGCCATTTCTTGAAGTAACCCAACCTAAGCTCAGGAGTTAACAGGCCACAAAAGAACTCCCTTTGGTACTCTGTTTCGAACATCTTAGACATAGCATAGATAGAGTCAACTGTTTGCTCAACGCCACACTCAAATGCCAGCTCCTGACACCTCTTCACAGAATATGCAGCCTTCTCATTTGCACGTTTCTGCATTTGCTTAGTGTTGGCTACGACAGACTCCTTATAGGTATTGGCTATGTCCTTGACAATCTTCACCATTGGGCTCTTGCTCTTCTTCAATGGACTGGTCAAAGTGCTTGAAGTGCTTATTGATCTCTTGCCCCTCTGGCTCCTCTGGTTGCTTGTACTTGTAGGTGTTCCTTGAAACTCCTCCTCTTCCTCTTCTACCCCTGCATCTTGCCCTTGATTCTGACCATAATCGTCTCCAGGCACAAAGGTTGTGCTTCCATCCATGGTGTAACCTCTGAATAGTCGATCAAGCAACTCCTCGTTTGCTGGAGGACCCCACTGCAACTTTCTTAGGTATGGTTTCTTCTGCAGGATAGTGAAAAAGTAAAACTAGTTAAGATATGAGAGATTCATCAAGATTTATACTGATGAAAAAGGCACATGGATGGACGGTGCATGCACATGGATGGACTAGTATGTGGTCGTTGAAAGCATCAGTTTTGTTTTATCTTCTCTGGCTGTTTGTTTCTTCCTGGTTAAATTATTGCTCCAGACTTAAATTATTTGACTAGCTCAGATTCATCAAGATTTACTGCTCCAGACTTAAATTATTTGACTAGCTCAGATTCATCAACAATCCATTTTATTTACATAAAAGCATATATAGTCGTAACTACGTGCATAGAAGACCCATATACTTTGCCAATGCAATGAAAAATCTTCACAGCAGCATAGAAGACCCATATAAGACCCATATACTTTGCCAATGCAATGAAAAATCTTCACAGCAGCATAGAAGACCCATATAAGACCCATATACTTTGCCAATGCAATGAAAAATCTTCACAGCAGCATAGAAGACCCATATAAGACCCATATACTTTGCCAATGCAATGAAAAATCCTCACAGCAGCGACCCAACATATTTAAAGATATACTACATTGATATAGGCAGTAAAAGTGTACCTCTGTGTGTGTAATCCAGAACTCAGAGTCGGCATCAATGGTTCCATCTGGTTTCCTCCCCATCCGTAGAGCCCAAGCCCCGGGAACCCCTCCGACGCCGGCGCTTGCGAGTTGAGGTCAAGACCGACATGGGGAGCGGGGCCGCTTGCCGACGGCTGCGAACCCCACACATCGAAGCCGTCTCCGTCCATCGCTGGTGCTCTGCTCCAAGCTATACTACCTGTACCAGAAGAGAAGAATCAGTAGCGCATCCAGGAAGTGTTACAAGCAAGCCGAACTCAACACCGCACATGCAGTCGTGCTCTTCTCCGGAATAAGTAATCTTGTCCATGTTAACTTATGAGATACATTTCTAACTTTGATTATTTATAACAGCTAGTGCATAACAAAAATGAAATTGTACCAAAATAATTTGTGTAAGTTCCTGAACATCTGCAGCTCTTTATAAGTATTCATAGATCAGCTCTTTATAAGTATTGAGTTGTTTCTCAATATAGATCCTGAACATCTGCAGCTCTTTATAAGTATTTATAGATCAGCTCTTTATAAGTATTTGCATATCACAGCTCTTTGTTTCTTAATGCTCAAATCACAGCTAGTGCATATCAAATTATTTATAGATCAGCTCTTTGTTTCTTCATGCTCTAAATTTGCACAAACATCTGCAACGAGAGGGGGCTGAACATCTGCAGCTAACTAGCTAACTAAACAGAAGAATCCAGCCACGCCGTTGCTCACGCTAACTAATCTAGCTATGGACTACTCTTGCTGACTTGATGCACAGACGAACGCGTACGAGGAGGGAGAGCACGAGTACAGAAGGAACGGACGGACTCACCTATCGCTGGATCGATCCTTGACAGATGCGTCGCCTCCGCGCACGAGAGAGAGAGAGAGGGAAACGACCGGGAGCGGCGCGAGCTTCGGACGGGGGAGGACGAGCGGCGACCGGAGGAGGACGAGCGGCGACCGGAGGAGGTCGCGGCTTGGGCCGGCGGCGCGGCGCACGGGCCGGCGGCGCGATGGGGATCGAGAGAAAAGGTTAGCGCGAGGGGGTGCTGGAGCGAGGGTGGGATCTGGTGCGGGCAGGAAGGGATGGGAGGGCGATTTTTTTAGTTATTCTTTTTGTGGGCCCCAGGAAAACTAGCCCAACTAGCACCTCTCCACCGGGATACTTTTTTTACATGGGTTAGAGGCAACTAACTGAAACTAGCCCAACCTGTTTGGATCCTTTTGAGCTATTTGAGTCCAAAATAACTCAAACTAACACTAACTCTAGGATCCAAACAGGGCCATTGACTGCGTCTGGCCAACTCCAGCAGGCAATAATTATCGGCCGCAACAATAAACCACTTAAATTACACGGCGCCCGAGGCGTCACTCCCACGCTCGTCCCCCCACATCCCACTCGCATCGCGTCGCGTGCGTGTCCCCTCCAGCATCCGCAATCCCGGTGCGCCTGTCCGAACACCCACCACCACGTCACCGTACCAAACTCCCCGTCCACATCCAAACCACCCGACACGCGTCGCCACGCGGTCGCGCACACATCGCTGAGGCTCCATCCGGCCGCGCAGAGGATCCCCTGGCCTCATCGGAACCTTCGCCGACATGTGGGGCGCCGTCACGGCGGGCCCCACGCGTCATCGGGGGGTCGCGCTCCGCTTGCTTCCCTCGCGGGGCAAGGAGCCGAGACGAGACGACGGCAGCTGCGTAGGCCCCACGTGTCGGCGTGCCACGCGGTTCGCGGGAGCTCGCGCCATCGCACCCGCCCCGGCACCGCGGGCCCGCGGCCCCGGGCCCACGCGTCACCGAGACGGTGGCTACGTAGATATCTTCCGAACCGTCGCGCCCCCACATGGGCAGAGTCGGTTTCGCCCAGAGGGGAGAGGGAGGGGAGGCTCACGCCAGAAGATACCGCGCCGCGTGCGTCGTCGGATGGTTGCCTAGCTGCCCCGCGCACGGAGGCGCCGCGCCGCGATCCGTCGCCGGCCGCCGGCGGAGCGCGCGCCTACTTCTGGCGGTATTTAAGGAGGAGGAGGGCGTTGGCGATTTGTGTCGCGGAGGCGCGAGAAGGGGGGGAGGCGACAAGGTAGGCGGCGTCTTTAGACTCTGGGAGCTGCCATTAACGCTGGCCTGGCCACCTCCGCATGCGGACAAGCGCGGCCACGTCGTCGCCACGGGATGGCGGCTCCGGGGCTCTGACCCCCGCCCAGGTATTTCAAGGGGACAGAGCTCTCCCTCCCTTCGATTCTGCTCGATTCGATGCCTCGACTCCGGGCCGCCTGCCCTCTGACTCTGATCTGCCTTCTGATGTGGGAATTCTGGCGCGCTTTTGCGTGCGCGGTGCAGGGCGGCATGGGGAGCGGCGGCGCCAGGCGGCATTTCTTCCCGCTTACCAGCTTGCAAATCGGGTACGTCTGGTCTTTCGTTTCTATGGGATTGGATGTTTATTGTGGGGAATGCTCGCGGAGCTTGTGACCTTGCGCTTGCGGTGGAAATTTCTTGCTCTCTTGTCGCTGGTTCGATGGGCATGAGCATTTCGGTGGAATGGAGACTGATTTGAGCAAACTTCATCTGTTATTGTCTGTTCAGTCAAAAATGTAGTGCTCTTGTGCTGTACTGGAATAGATGTGCTCTTTGTGTGGGTAAAGGGAAAAGTTCATTCAATTACAGTAGTGGGCACAGTTCACCTTTCGTTGTAACAGTTCCTAGCGGCATGGAAGATGGCAAGAGTCTCAAATTAGCAGTATTTGTTTGGCCTGCGGGGGTGAGAAAGTTCCAACATACAATTCTGAAGAAACTGACAAGAAATATCCCAAATTAAGGAGTCGGGTAGCTGAATTGTCTGACGTTGATGTTTCATTCGCTACTGTCCTTCAGGCTAGCATTTACTTTCTTATTGGATAGGGTAAAACAGTGACAATGTGGTCATGTAGTAGAAAGGAAACCAGTTACTGGTAAATTTTTGCCATATAAAGTGGTTGATGGACAAATTTGCCTATCAAAGGGAAGGTGTTAGTACATAAGATTAATACTGCACTGGAGCTGTTCAATTGTTCACCGTTTATCACCTTTCACCCGGACTGCATTCAGGGATGTGGCACACACTTATAGCAAAGTCAATCTGCAATACCTTTGATCTCTTCAACATCATTTAGGATTTTCCTTTAGGCTTCTTACTTGCTTGCACCTCCCTTTAGATTGATGAGTGTACCCCTCTTGCGACATATTCTTCCTAGTTTGCACTTTTGGGCTAAACAAATATCAGAGAGAAGGAAGGTTAATGCCCTGTTTGTTGCAGCTTCAGTTGATCACCTGTGGATTTGCTTCACTGGCAAAGCTGAGCAGAATCGGCTTTGCCACTGAAGTACACCTGGAAGTGCTTCAGGCAATTTCACTGATTCCCGAATCCAGATTAAGCTAAACTAGCGAAGCTGATTCCAAGTAGCTGTTTGTTTCAGCTTCTGATTTTTCCTATGGGAATCTGCTGCCTAAAGCTGAAACAAACAGGGCCTAAATCTTGGCTTCTTTTTATTCATGTGATTTCCAAAACACATGAATAGGCAAAGTGCAGGAACTGGATGCCATGGCATGGTGAATCCTACAGGAAGGAATTGCATGCAAATTATTCCATGTTAAAGTCCATTAGGTTTTTGCTATTTTAAAATATGCAGAGGTGTAGGGTGTTCATAGGTTACACAACTTGCAAGCTATTCTTTCTTCTACTTTTTCCACACAGTGTCTGTTATCCTGACGATAATGCATTAGTGAATTTCTATTTCCATTTGCAGTACTCTTCATTAGTCAGGCATGCTGGAACAACGGTTGCTTTTTTCCATATGCAGGGATTTACAGTCATATCTTGCAGAGCTCACTATATTTCTGTGCCCCGATACCAAGAAGTTCCTTATCTTCCTTGACAACCGTCCATGGTTGCTAGATCAGAATACAAAACCTGCTCACCTGTGGCAATTGATGGTTACCAAGGTCCACTTTACTCTCTTATGCACTAGTGCCTCTTTAATTGATATTATAACCATATATACTCTCAAATAATTGCCCCTGTCATAACTCTTGCTTACTGTTGCTATTTTGTGCTCCAGTCAAGATTTTCTCCTTTCGCGAACACTAGAACTAGGAGAAAGAGAGATGAAGGTGGAAATAAGCTTGTATTTTCAGAATTCCCAACATCTGCTCCACGTGTGTGGAATCAATCATCCAGATGGTATACCCTGATTGATGATACCATGCGGAAAAAGAAGCTTCAAGTAAATAAATTGAAGGATTCTCGCCTGCTGAATAGGGAGCTGCATCGGACATTGTATGGTTTTATTATTTTTGAGGTAGACTGGGCTGACGTGCGTGGCATTAATTATTTAAATGAGCTTCAGGTATTGCTGTTTAATGTTGATAGTTTACAATGAATATCATGTTGACGGATTTAAACGGATAGCCCATGCTTACTTCCCTTCACGCTGTTGTAGACTGATACATCAATGGTGGCCGAAGCAAAAATAATGAAGAGATGGGAATTTGATAGCGTCAATCAAGCTTCATCTTTAATCACTTCTTGGTTCTCGGGGAATTACTCAGAGTGTCAGCTCTTACAAGATTATTTAAATAGCATCTCTCCTAAAGGTAAAAGTTTGAACTTCTGAGATTTGTTATTCTCGTCTGCTGGTACAATCTGCCTCTGCTGGTACAATCTGCTTATATATGCTTGCTGTTACAGGTGATGTTTTTTATGATGCCCTAGATGACTTAACACCTGAATTATGGGATACTGAGAGTGTAAAGAGCGATGGTGATGATTGTGGGGATTGTGTTAGGGTGTCGTCAAGTTCCACAAGCTCATCATACACCCCGCCACCTTGCTCTGGACCTTACAAGAGAAGAAGGATAACAAGATCTGATGCTGGAAGTGATATGTCAGAGGAACCATACTCAGAATTTGTGACTTCACCAAGATATTCATCATATTCATCTTCATCATGTTGCAGTGATAATGACAGTGGCAAGCCACTGGTGGAGCCTAGCATATACAAGGATGTGCTGATCTTGTTCCGATTCAATGATCATGATCTGCCGTTCAGACTAAAGGAAGTTATACTGTCTGATGTGAGGCTCTTAACACTACTTGAGTATGGTCTTCCTTCATGGGTCATTTTTCTTCAGTCATATCCAGTGTTCTGCAAGATATATCGCCCATGGATGTGTCCTCTAGCCAGAGCACTATACGTCTTGATGTCATTAATTACTGTTCTTATAGGATTTTATGACCTCTACAAGAATGTACCAATGTTGAAGGCAACTGCCTCTAGATTATTTGGCCCTTTGTTTGATTGGATAGAGACATGGGAAATGATCTCAAGGCTTAAGTATCTTGGAACCATGCTTTTTCTGAACAATTTCCAGCAGGCTTTTACATGGTCTCTTAAGATTGTACGTGCTACTAAGTCTGTTCTTAGTGTATTGACAAAGCCAATTATGGGGCCACTGTTGGAGGTTCTTGAATTTACCCTGCCACTATGGAACCTTTGTGCTGAAACGGTTGAATATCTCAGTTCAGCTGCAATGGTAGCGATGGAAACATCATTCAGTGCGGTTGTCAGTACAGTTCAGATGATCATGTGGCCATTTTGGTTTATCTTCAGTACGATGTTTAATATAGGTATGGTTACTGTAATCTTCCAAATGATCAGTTTCTTTTTCCGTTTGTGTTTTTATTCTGATGACTTATTAATACTTTGCTTATTGCAGCCAATTCAATCTTATACCCTGTAATTTGGTTCGTCGGAGAGATACTAGCCGCACCTTTCCGACTTGTCGTTGCGCTAGCAAGTTTTGTAGCAGACTTCTTCGATGATATTTTTGATGTTTTGAGGCAGACCTGGTCAACATTAAGTTCGGTGTATCAAGTTGGTTCTGCATCCAGAGCACCTGCGCTTACATCGGAAACTACCATTTGGGGATCACTCTGGAAAGATCTTCTGTACCAGGTAACATAAATTTGTTTGCATGCCTAGCGATTGTTTTTCAAGTATATTATGCAACTTATGTTGGCTCTTGTTGTAGATTTTCCGTGCAGTCCGTAGCATTTTGTACGGTTTTGTTGCCTTCTTTTCAACGTGCAATAGGCACCGGCTCAGGTAATTTTCCCTTCTGCTTGTATGCAGAGGTAGTATTTGCAAATCAGACAAACAATAAGTTGAAAACCTGAATGATGGGAACACCCGTGCTTTTCTGAGTTCAAACTTTTTCTTCAAACTGGCTTGCGTGTCTGGACAATGGAAATTTTAAAATTGTGTGGTGTTGCTCACATTATGCCCCCATGAGTATTATGAGCTAATTGTGACTACATTTGCAGCATATACAATCACATAGAAGTTCTTCTCCGGCGCCTGTCCCGCGCCTTAAATGGCACGCGACATACCTCCTCTTGTGAAGGAGCTCAGAAGTATACTAGTCAAGATCATCCTGTAAGTACTAGCATTTTTACTTATGGTTGATGTTTGTGTTCATTCAATGGTGTTTCTGAACTTCGGAAATGAAATACCCCCTCTGTATCAAAATATTAGACGTTTTTTGACAGTCAAAAAGCATCTTGTATTTTGATATGGAGGGAGCACCTCTCTAGAGAAGGAACAACCCTGGGAACTTGTTCTAAAAAAAAACCTGAGAACTGACATTATTCAATTTTTTTTAAACAAGGATTATTCATTTTGTTGTTATACTCCTGGGCATTTGAATGCATAGGTCATTCCAAAACAGCCAATCTACCATAGACCTACCTTATACTGTTTTCTAATGAGTGTTTCCCCTACATACAAAGGGCCAAACTGTCTTATACTCGTATATAGTTACGTCGTAGCTATGCAAACAAGTTAACTGTTTTAACTGTATTGCGGTGTTTCAGTAAAAAATAAATGCATTTTTGCCAAGAACCAATAGTGTAGTTGCTCTATTTTCACTGTACATGTACTGTGACTTGGATCACTGTGTTCTTGTTTATTTGACATCCGCATTTAACGAGGAAACATGTACTGAATTTGGAACTACTTTCTGAACTTGCTGTCCCATGTTTGTTTGTGCAGCAAAGGAAAACCAAGACGAGATGATTGTGGAGTTACCGGATTGACATACCAAGTAATTAGCTAATTCAGAGAGACTTTAAAAGGTTGAGACGAGATAACAGTGGACCTCCACTCGAGTGGACCTCCGCAAGGAATCATGTGTACAGGTCTCATACAGCAACGTCTTCTAATGTTTCATCAAGGAACCCTAATCGGTGTATCCCCTCTGCACAGATGAGAGGCAGAGGGCAACAACCAGCGAAGCAAAAGTAGTACAACTGTAAATGAACATTAGTCGGAATCTGTTGTTTGTTTATCCATTGTAGTGTAATGTAATGTAATATATTAGTAGGTTGTACAGTAGAGTAGGTTTGTGCATATGCTTCGGCTACTGAACAAGAAATTTGTAAGTATACGAGTGAGTGCATTACCTTTGTTCAGTGATGGTTCTATTTAAAGCTTTCCCATCTCAGGTGCCTAGTTCTTGAACTTTTACTACTACTTCCGTCCCACAATATAAAATTGTTTTGCAAGCTAACATCGGCATTAATGCAACACATGCTTTTGTTCCTCTTCCGGCTCTCGCATTCCAAAGAATCTCGCAGAGCAGGATGTTTCCAACTGGGGAAAAAATGATTAGCTTGACGATCACCTTTTGAGTTCCCTCTCATTGCAGATCCCATCTATTCTTTCTTCTCCCGTGTCATCACGTAGTCCTAGCGCGCAGTGTGCACATGGAGGTAAGGTGGCGTTGCATCACGATCACAGGCGGCGGGGCATATGCATATGCATGTGGGGTTGGTAGATTTTAGATGCACGGAGCCACGCGTGCAACAGTGCAAGATCTGGGCATCATGGTTCCCGGTGAGAGCAAACAGACATCGCCACCTCCGAGACGATGATCATCGACAGGGAGAGGTTCACTGAACCCATAGGAAACCGACGGATACGCCGTGTGAAAATCTTGCGCTGCCAATTTCAATCGCCGGTGCAGGTATGTACGTAAACACGAGTCAGCAGATTTGACATGTCCTCGTCTGAATCTGTTTGCTCGATGGAGCGCCGTGATCCATGGCCTGCTGAATATGCCCAAAGGTCCAAGTGGGTCTTCCCATGAGTGAGTGAGTGAACCTCCTTTTTCTTTGTCGAAGCACGAGCGAGGGAGAGCTCACTGGCACGGTGGCGCCACTGTACGAAGTGTGGACTTAACTGAATAAAGGCAGGGTTCACATGATCACGCGCTCATGGGTCTTGGATCCTCGCTGTTGTCGTCGCACTAGCAGCTGCCGGAGCTGGGGGCTGGAGGCGCGTCGCGCATAGTAATCCAAGCACAAATCACCAACCCCGGGTGGTCCTTGTCCAAGCAAGGATGATGTCTTCCTGACGCTCATCGGTTGGTCCTCCCCGTAAAAAAAATCATGCATGCAGACGAGACGAGACGAGTGAATCCTTCTCCAGTCACACCGACAGAAATGCCTCTGCGAGGAGGCCCGACCGGGCCGGCCTCGAGTTCTCCAGATTCACATGTGGAGCGACGGTGAAGTGTCATGTGTGCTGCATGCGACTGGCATGCATGCGCAGGACGTGTTAATCTTTCTTATTGGAACTGAATCGATTGGTAGTCGTCGAGTAGATGGCACCAGATCCATGCAGTATATTACAAGACCCGCGACATGATATTGTTCTTACAGGGGATCGGTGGAGAAGCTAAGATTGGCACCCTAGCTCGCCACATGGCTGAATGCCTGGATGAATGAAGCTGCCAGAGATCACGAAACAGTAAACAGCACTACGCAGATCTAAACCAGCGGCATCTCACCGTCACCGGCAAGGACGAACGTGACCGTACGTACGAACGGTGCGATCACTGGAGTCCAGAGTTGTCTGTTGTTCCGGCCACTTGGGCACCGGCGGCCTGGCACTACGGCGCACATGGTGGACGACGATGGAAGAGCCCTGCGTGCCGTTGCCCATGCGCTCCGCTTCTCCCCCAACGTTTCCCGGCCCGGTGAATCCCTCTCGCGTCTCGCCTGTCCCGTACCAGACCGGTGCCAGCCATTGCTACACCTCCCACAGTACTGCACCGGTGGACAGCAGGACGTACTACGCAGCAGTAGTACTAGTACTTAAAGCGCATTTGCACGTCTGTGTGTCCTGTTCATGCCTGGACGGTTTGCCTTTCCTGAATCATGATACGGTACGCCTTGGCATGTTTGCCTACGGGCCGGCTACGGCAGTGTATGCCGCATGCAGGAACGGGAACAACACAACCTGAATCATCCATGGATGTAGACGTATCTACATCTGCGGCAATCAAGCAGCCGATGATGATCTCCGACGACCACACCACGCGCTCCGGTGACAATCCAGGAGGACTTTGCCTACCACGTGTGACCCATTGGTGCACAGCTGCGCCACTCCGTCCATTACTGCAGTACTGCACTAGTCTAGAACAGCTGCTCCGAGCCGTGACAATCCCGTAATTTGTTCGCAGGCAACGCGCCGTTCTCCACCGAGTTGCATCAGTGCGTGCATGCACGGTTTTCATCTCCAGCAACATGAGTACGTTGTACACTAGCTGTATGTACCCTCACCTACTCCGACCTACGCCGTCGGGCTGTCCGTCGCCATGATGGGCCGCTCTAGACCGATCGTTCCATCGCGGCCTCACCTAAAAGGCGTCCTCGCTTTACATGCAGCGCACACCCCGCGCCCATGTATCCCTGTCCTCGCCGCCTACTCCTGAGTTGTAAAAACTGTACTACCTCCTGCCGCCAATAAGTAACCGGACCTCAAATCCTGGCTCCTCTTTTTGCCCATCATTTCCCCTTTTGATTGGCTATTAACTGGAGATAGTTAACTAGCCGCTTCAATCCGCCACCCACTCTGCCTGCTCGATCTACTCATGCATGCATCAATGTATCCCGCCCATGGTGATAAGGCCAACTCCAACACACGACTCAAATGGTCCGTCCGTGTTCGTTTGAGAGTAAACGGACAAAGCAGGCCCTCCAACACGTGACCGCAAACACACCGTCATCCGTTTTTTATCCGCTTTCGACCCATTCCCGACACTAGTTTAGACTGAGTTTGCGGCCAAATGCACACGCACAACGCCGCCTGGCTCCTGCCCATGTCCTCCCATGGCCCGCCCTTCGGGGACGCAACCCCCCTTTTCCTATCTCCCTCACCCCCCGCTCCAGCTGCAACCCCGCCCCTCTCGTCCCCCATTGTCGCCATTGTCGTTGTGCAGCTCGGCCGCGCGCTCGCCCCAACCCTTGTCGCAACCCCGTTCTCTCGACGCCCCAACTGCCCAACCACGGACACCTGATATGCGCGCTCGGCGGTCCGATTTGAAGCGGATTCGGCCGGACTTGAGCACATGACTGCAAGAGGTCTCGTCGTGCCATGAACTGGCGGGCACCAGGCTGGAAGGCCCCGGCAAGGCTGCATGCAGGTACTGACTCCGCCTGTAGCCGCTCGGATCTACCCCGGCGGCGGTTCGCCTGCAAATACACGAACGGCCGTCGTCCGGGCTCGGTGCTGGCCCAAAAGCTCGTCGGCGCATCGGTGCCACTCATAAAGTGCGACGATTGCCCAAGCAAGGTCTTGCACCGCGTGTGTACAACGCCGAAACATCCCAGATGGGTGTTCGTCAAGTGCTCAAACAATGGAGTATGTGCTACTTTAGCTTCAGTTGTGCTCTCAGATTCGACTAGATGTACTCACTCAAAATTTTATTGTGTAGAATGGATGCAATTTTAGTATTGGGAAAAAGAATACATCGATTTATTGATAGAGCGCAATTTAATAGATGTTCATGCACTTGTTGCTAGAATAGAGGCTTGAGATAAGACTTGATTCGAGGAAGCAACATCTACTTCTTTAGACTCGAAGAAGAAAGAAACCCGCAAGATCGAGCCTCCGTAGATCAACAATGAATGCATTGAGAATGCATCAATCCAACTTAAGGAGTTATGAAAGTTGGATATCTCCTAAAATGTCTTATTGTGATTCTTGTTTCCTTTGATCTTGCTATTCTAATCAAGATTTGGTGATGTATGCGGACGAGATACAGCCGAAATACGTCCGTGCGTTGGGCGCACGACAGACGCATCCACAAATCTGGACAGACACGACCCCATTGTCACCCCCAAACGAACGAAAAACGGATGAAACGGATGTCCGTTTGAGGTCATGCGTTAGAGTTGGCCTAAGGTGGTTAGGGGCGGCGCTAGGAGTATTATTGCGTCTTCATGTGAATACCCGTAATTTTTACAAAACAGTGTTGATTTTGATAAAAGAATGGCAATTTTCGAAAAACAGAAATGGTTTTTGTAAAATGAATACATATCAATACCCGGTTGCAAATTTCTGAAACCGCCATTGAAGGTGGTTTGCGTACGTGCTGGGAGCCAACGGCACCAGACCGAGCTCGCTGGATGATTGCGCCGCTAGTGCAAGTGAGGCACTGCTCGATCTTCAAGTGCAACGGGAAGGCACACGAGGGTTGTGGCCGAAATCACTGTTCTGACCTTGTCA